CGCTCACTTCACGGAAGGAAAATAAACCAAATGTGAACTTGTAGATAATTTCTCACAGTTGAAACATGTTATAATAATGACAGTAAAGAAGAACAAACATTGTTACATAGATCAAATCCCACTCCGCCTATAACATGGATTAAATCATTATAGGCCAATGAAATTTACTGCAAGAAACATGCAAACCTAGGCCGGAGCAATACGTTCCCAGGCCGGAACAACCGTGGACATTTTCAAGAGAAAACTAGATAGTTTCCTCCAAGAAGTGCCGGACCAACCGGGCTGTGGTTGGTATGTGGGCCTGCGGGCCGCTCCAAGCAACAGCCTGGTGGACCAAACTCTCACAAGTCAAGCCTGGCCTCGGGGAGTACTCCCAGGACCCCTTCCAGATACAACCAACATGCCATAGCTTACAAGTTATAATTTGCTGCAAAATATTGATGAATATAATGGGTGGAATGGCAACTCATCCTCCTATTTAGACACTATTTTTGTCACAACTAAGTGTAACATAGTACATATATTGACGTAGTGGGCAATTAGATAGTAGAATTTGGTACTATTCACTTTAAAGAGCCCAGAAAATAAAAGCTAAATTCCAAACTTAAATATTCCTAGGCGTACCATAGTACACATGTGTACTATATTAGTCCTGAGATAACGTCCATTAGGCCTAGGAAGGTTAGGCCTAGGTTTTATGTGCAACATAAATGAAAACCTTTTCCGATTTATCCAGAAAGTTCTACGTTCTAATCGTCCATTACGTCACTATATGTCCGATGGTGCACCTGGTTGGCGGAAGTGCTGAGTGTAGAGGAGGATGGTGAACATAACACCGGGAGAACTACACTAACATGTGGACCTGGTGACACAGGAGACACCACAGGAGACACCACAGGAGACACCACTGAAGACACCACTGAAGACACCACTGAAGACACCACTGAAGACACCACTGAAGACACCACTGAAGACACCCATTGTCTTACACTTTCCTAAGACCAGAAACTTTCCAGCCACTTGCTCACATCTGTACCTTGCACCCCTATTTTGTTTTAATATCTACCCCCCTATATCCTTCCTCTCTCTCTCTCTCTCTCTCTCTCTCTCTCTCTCTCTCTCTCTCTCTCTATATATATATATATATATATATATATATATATATATATACATATATATTTCCTTATATCTTATAGTTGCTCATTGTTCTTCGTCTCCTTCTCTTCCACCTCTCCTCTTCCCCGCTCTTCTCTTTCATTCTTACTCCTCCCCATCTCGTCTCTTCCTCTCCTCCCCCCCCCTCTCATCTCTTGCTCTGCTCGTTTCATCTCCTGTTCTCCTCTTCCCTCCGTGTTCCATTTCGCCTATTTCTCGGTTCGTCTATTCCATTCCTGCCTGCGTCCTCTCCCTTCCCCGGATGTCAGGCCCTGGGAATCAACAAAGGCAGCGTTGTGAATGTGTCCCACTCTATTGTTCAGGACACAGGTGTCCCACTCTGTTGTTCAGGACACAGGTGTCCCACTCTATTGTTCAGGACACAGGTGTCCCACTCTGTTGTTCAGGACACAGGTGTCCCACTCTATTGGTCAGGACACAGGTGTCCCACTTTGTCGTTCAGGACACAGGTGTCCCACTCTGTAGTTCAGGACACAGGTGTCCCACTCTGTTGTTCAGGACACAGGTGTCCCACTCTGTTGTTTAGGACACAGGTGTCCCACTGTTGTTCAGGACACAGGTGTCCCACTCTGTCGTTCAGGACACAGGTGTCCCACTCTATTGTTCAGGACACAGGTGTCCCACTCTGTCGTTCAGGACACAGGTGTCCCACTCTATTGTTCAGGACACAGGTGTCCCACTCTGTTGTTCAGGACACAGGTGTCCCACTCTGTTGTTTAGGACACAGGTGTCCCACTGTTGTTCAGGACACAGGTGTCCCACTCTGTCGTTCAGGACACAGGTGTCCCACTCTATTGTTCAGGACACAGGTGTCCCACTCTGTCGTTCAGGACACAGGTGTCCCACTCTATTGTTCAGGACACAGGTGTCCCACTCTGTTGTTCAGGACACAGGTGTCCCACTCTGTTGTTCAGGAAACAGGTGTCCCACTCTGTTGTTCAGGACACAGGTGTCCCACTCTGTTGTTCAGGACACAGGTGTCCCACTCTGTTGTTCAGGACACAGGTGTCCCACTCTGTTGTTCAGGAAACAGGTGTCCCACTCTACCGTTCAGGACGCAAATATCTATCGTTTATGGAGTATAACCAAGTAAATATCTATCGTTTAGGGAGCATAACCAAGTAAATATCTATCGTTTAGGGAGCATAACCAAGTAAATATCTATCGTTTAGGGAGCATAACCAAGTAAATATCTATCGTTTAGGGAGCATAACCAAGCAGATATCTATCGTTTAGGGAGCATAACCAAGCAGATATCTATCGTTTACGGAGCATAACCAACCAAATATCTATCGTTTACGGAGCATAACCAAGCAAATATTGCGTTAGCTAGAAAAGCAATTAGATGGATTACGAGAACTTTCAGATCCATAAATCCCATCACAATGGGATTGTGATGGGATTTTACTATTAATAAAATGTTACTATTTTGATACTATTCAAATCAAGAGTACTGTCCCGCCTTGAGTACTGCTCGGTACTCACTTTCCCTTTCAGAGCAGGATACATTGATGAAGTAGCGGGACCACAGAGAAAGTACACAACACGCATAGACACGATAAAGCACTTGAACTATTGGGAGCGTCTCAAAGCTCTCAAAAATGTACTCTTTGGGAAGGAGGCGAGAGCGGTATCTCATAATATATACATGGAAGATACTGGAGGGCCAGGTCCCAAATGCGCACAGTAGAATAATAAAATACTGGAGCGAAAGATACGGAAGGAAATGTAGAATAGAACCAGTGAGGAGTAGAGGTGCCATAGGCACAATGAGAGAACACTGTATGAACATCAGAGGTCCGCGGCTGTTCAATACCCTCCCAGCAAGCATAAGTAAGGGGGTACCCAGGGTCGTGTATGGGTACCCCCAGTGGAGGCGGTATATCTGTAACATCACAGAGCCATATACCCGACACGCGCGCCACAGAGTGCCCCACAGAGTGCCCCACAGAGTGCCTCACAGAGCGCCACACACAGCGTGGCCCGCCCGCCCAACATTAGCATAGTGGAGGCCGCCGTGGAGCAGAGAGAGAGAGAGAGCCAGGCAATATCATCCTTATGAACTGTGATTAAACCTCGTAATTTCCAACTTTGGGGAGTGAACGGTATCGGCTTATCGGAGACGCGGGCACTAAACATGTCGGGGCGTGTTGGGTATTCACTGTGCTGCCACCAATGGGTTGGTGGCTCCGAGACACAGATACTGGTAGGGACCTCTCAGATGGTGGTTGGTAGGAAAGATGAGCGGCCACAGGTGGGTTCAGGCTTGGAAAAGTGTTAATTTTTGCAACCAATGCGCACTCAATGGCTACCGCAACTCCACTCTCACACCCCACGATTTAAGTCCTGCCGTGCACGCCTTCAGTCCTGCACGTCCCTTGCCCTGCACGTCCCTTGCCCCCCCCCCCACAAACCACAACACCATGTCTTGTCTCATTCTCGTCAACTTGCCGTAACACTAACAGGAACGTCGAGCAGGATTTCCATTCTCTGGATCCCAAAATCGCTCTGAAACCCTCTCTCAAATCGCTCTAGTTATTGTATGAGTGATGGCCTTAACAGCAATGCCAGGAGCATTTTATTGCGTTTTCATCGGCGTTTGGGAGACAGGGCGAGGGACCCAGAGCTAGAGCCGGACCGTGGTCACACACAGGTCGGCACTTACATGGTTTTACTTACTTAAACAGTTGCAAACATAAATGAGAGAGGAGTCGCCCCTCAGAGAGGAAGTACTGAGTACAGCAGATATCACTGGTGGTTATCTTGAGATGATTTCGGTGCTTAGTGTCCTCACGGCCCGGTCCTCGACCAGGCCACCTTATTGGTACACACCCCAGGAAGCAGCCCGTAGCAACTATCTAACTCCCAGGTACCTATTTACTGCTAGGTAACAGAGGCATCAGGGCAAAAGAAACTATGTCCATTTGTTTCCGGATCGAACCCAGAACCTCAGGACTACGAATCCCGAGCGCTGACCACTCAGCTGTCAGGCCCCTCTGCCAAGACAACATTCTCTTGACACATCCCTTACCACCTTCCCTACCACAACCCCCCCCCCTCCTTCTCCACCACAACCCCCCCCCCTTCTCCACCACCATGATCCCCCCACCCCTACCCCATCTTACCATAGCTCACCCCCTACCACCTCCACCCCCCCCTGACGTCTCCGTCATTAAGGACACACCTGTCACAGGTGCCAGACTGGCACAACACCTGCCCGACAGGTAACCACAACTGATCCCCCCCCCCCAAACACCTGTGACACACTGCATGACACATGATGAAGTAGATGGTAACCTCCTGACGTGTATACAGGCATTCTAATCTACAATTTAGACCTATGAACCTCACTCTCCTGTGTGGCAGTGATCATCGTCACCATCTTCACTGTCCTGTGTGGCAGTGATCATCGTCACCATCTTCACTGTCCTGTGTGGCAGTGATCATCGTCACCATCTTCACTGTCCCGTGCGGCAGTGATCATCGTCACCATCTTCACTGTCCTGTGTGGCAGTGATCATCGTCACCATCTTCACTGTCCTGTGTGGCAGGCCGGCATTGCAGGACTGTTGGCATCAACAGTGACAAGTAACTGGCACCAAGTCACTGTTGGAGACAGTTCAGGACGAAGACGTGACGGTGACAACACTGCTCCTAACTGTCGGGTGGTTCAACAGTCTTTGTTCAGGATGTTTTGTTCCTCAGACTCCGGTTAATGAAGGCGGGACCTACTGGAAGCACCACTCCGGTTATTAACAACAAGAGCCGTGAACAACAAAGTCGCCATATTGGACTTGTCATTCAACCCGTCATCCAGAAGCCGATTACGGACTTTTTAATTGCTGTGTTGCCCATGGCAGGAGAGTGTTGAACATGGTAGGCGGGAGAGTATTGAACATGGTTGGCAGGAGAGTGTTGAACATGGTTGGCGGGAGAGTGTTGAACATGGTAGGCAGGGCAGTGTTGAACATGGTTGCCGGGAGAGTGTTGAACATGGTAGGCAGGGCAGTGTTGAACATGGTTGCCGGGAGAGTGTTGAACATGGTAGGCAGGGCAGTGTTGAACATGGTTGGCGGGAGAGTGTTGAACATGGTAGGCAGGGCAGTGTTGAACATGGTTGCCGGGAGAGTGTTGAACATGGTAGGCAGGGCAGTGTTGAACATGGTTGCCGGGAGAGTGTTGAACATGGTAGGCAGGGCAGTGTTGAACATGGTTGGCAGGGCAGTGTTGAACATGGTTGCCGGGAGAGTGTTGAACATGGTAGGCAGGGCAGTGTTGAACATGGTAGGCAGGGCAGTGTTGAACATGGTTGGCAGGAGAGTGTTGAACATGGTAGGCAGGGCAGTGTTGAACATGGTTGGCAGGGCAGTGTTGAACATGGTTGCCGGGAGAGTGTTGAACATGGTAGGCAGGGCAGTGTTGAACATGGTTGCCGGGAGAGTGTTGAACATGGTAGGCAGGGCAGTGTTGAACATGGTTGCCGGGAGAGTGTTGAACATGGTAGGCAGGGCAGTGTTGAACATGGTTGCCGGGAGAGTGTTGAACATGGTAGGCAGGGCAGTGTTGAACATGGTAGGCAGGGCAGTGTTGAACATGGTAGGCAGGGCAGTGTTGAACATGGTTGCCGGGAGAGTGTTGAACATGGTAGGCAGGGCAGTGTTGAACATGGTTGCCGGGAGAGTGTTGAACATGGTAGGCAGGGCAGTGTTGAACATGGTTGCCGGGAGAGTGTTGAACATGGTAGGCAGGGCAGTGTTGAACATGGTTGCCGGGAGAGTGTTGAACATGGTAGGCAGGGCAGTGTTGAACATGGTTGCCGGGAGAGTGTTGAACATGGTAGGCAGGGCAGTGTTGAACATGGTAGGCAGGGCAGTGTTGAACATGGTAGGCAGGGCAGTGTTGAACATGGTTGCCGGGAGAGTGTTGAACATGGTAGGCAGGGCAGTGTTGAACATGGTTGCCGGGAGAGTGTTGAACATGGTAGGCAGGAGAGTGTTGAACATGGTAGGCAGGAGAGTGTTGAACATGGTTGGCGGGAGAGTGTTGAACATGGTTGGCGGGAGAGTGTTGAACATGGTTGGCAGGAGAGTGTTGAACATGGTTGGCAGGAGAGTGTTGAACATGGTAGGCAGGAGAGTGTTGAACATGGTAGGCAGGAGAGTGTTGAACATGGTTGGCGGGAGAGTGTTGAACATGGTTGGCAGGACAATATTGAACATGGTTGCCGGGAGAGTGTTGAACATGGTAGGCAGGGCAGTGTTGAACATGGTTGCCGGGAGAGTGTTGAACATGGTAGGCAGGGCAGTGTTGAACATGGTTGCCGGGAGAGTGTTGAACATGGTTGCCGGGAGAGTGTTGAACATGGTAGGCAGGGCAGTGTTGAACATGGTTGCCGGGAGAGTGTTGAACATGGTTGCCGGGAGAGTGTTGAACATGTTTTTATTATATTTATTATTATTTTCTACCACAGACGTGGCCACACATTTACAATGCTAACCAGCATATATACATTTTCTTCTGTCTTCCATGGACAGGGTGAGAGAAATGTTAAACATATAGTTCAAGGGTTTATTGAACAATCGACCACAGAAGGCGATTGTAGTGCTTTTAAAATGGTAATCTAACCTACAGACATAAATACATAGATACACAGAGTTACGTCTGCCCTACATAAAGTGGTCGATGGGCCTTTTAAATAGTGTTATTAATGTACTTTTACAAAGGTGAAATGTAATTCTGATCAGCTTCCACATACACTTTATACACATACATACATATACATAAGCACACATATACATATATATATACATATATACATACATACACATATACACACACACATACGTACATACACATACATTTATGGCTCTCCTACTCTGAGAGGGGTAAGGTAGCTGATAGAGAAACTAGTGTGTTATTAAACACTTAACCACTGAAGGTGATTAAGATGGTTTTACAAGCTCAGGTTATATAGTTACATCTGAACATGGTGGGAGTGATGAACAAGGTTGACGGGCAGTGTGGAACCTATCTTTCGGGTCAGTTGTAATTGAGTGAACTTGAGCACTTGAGAAGGTCGTGAAGGGAAGCCCTTCCCGTTGTGAACAAATCCACAAGGGCCGTGACGAGGATTCGAACCTGCGTCCGGGAGCATCCCGTTGTGTTTGTGTGGTTGAGAGTGGCGGGAGGACAGGAGGGGGAGGGGGTCCAGGGGGGTATATTGAAGGTATTGAATTGTGTTGTGTCGGGTGTGTGTGTGATCCAGTTCGTGATGTCAGGTGTGTGTGTGTGTGTGTTGCTGAGGCTAGCTGTGAGCTCTTGACTTCCTCTCTCTCTCTCTCTCTCTCTCTCTCTCTCTCTCTCTCTCTCCCTCCCCCTCTTCTCTCGGCATGTTTTTAGTTGTGTTGATTTTGCTTTCTAGCATTTTTTAATCTGTTAATCAGCCCTCCCCCCCCCCCCGTCCTCATTTTCTCTTCCTACTCTACATCCTCTTATTTATCTTCCTGTCTTACTCTTCCTTCCTCCACGTTCTCTTCAGTTTCTCCTCTTTTCCTCAACCGTCACGACCACTTGATAGAGTTGAGTGTGGTCGTCTGAACGACTCGGGAACGTAGAAGTTATAGAGACAGAAGAGAAAGAACGGATGCAAGATGGTGTGTATGGGGGGGGTGGAAGGGGCTCTGTCTCCCCCTGTAGAGGTGCAGGGGAGCCAGAGCGGGGCACTCAGTGGGGTGATGACAGTGGCACTCTAGGTGTGTCATTGGTGTCTGTGTACTCACCTATTTGAGCTCTGGCTCTTTGGTCCCGCCTCTCAACCGTCAATCAACAGGTGTACAGGTTCCTGAGCCTATTGGGTTATATTATATCTACATTTGAAACACACACATCCCAGTCCATCCTCCTGTTCTGAGGGGTACTTACACGGAGGATGAGCACTATAGTACATATACCGACGTACTAAACAATTAGAAAGTAGAAATCAGTACTATTGAAATTGGACAAACCGGAAAACGATTTTCTGCTACTGTTGCAAAGACACATAAAACTAACCTAACCTCAAATTCCTATGTCTCATGCACGCTATCTGAGGCCTGGTATAGTACATATGTGTACTATACATATATAGTACATTCGCATATATAGTACTTATGTGAATATTCCTAGGCCTAGGAATATTCAAGTTAGTTTTTAGTTTAATTTTTTTGGACTCTATAAAGTGAATAGTACAAAGTTCGACTATCTAGCAGCTTAGTACGTCAATATTTGTACTATGGTGCACATAGTTGCGAAAAGTACTATCTAAACAGGATGGACTGTTACGACAGAAGTTCAGGTAGACACACACACACACAGAGGTCACAGGGCCTGGTAGCCTGGTGGATAGCGCGCAGGACTCGTAATTCTGTGGCGCGGGTTCGATTCCCGCACGAGGCAGAACAAATGGTTAAAGTTTCTTTCACCCTGAATGCCCCTGTTACCTAGCAGTAAATAGGTACCTGGGAGTTAGTCAGCTGTCACGGGCTGCTTCCTGGTGTGTGTGTGTGTGTGTGGTGTGGAAAAAAAAGTAGTTAGTAAATAGTTGATTGACAGTTGAGAGGCGGGCCGAAAGAGCAAAGCTCAACCCCCGCAAACACAACTAAGTGAATACACACACACACACACAGGATACAGAGAGGCCATTAAAAGATGAAGGGAAACTACCGCCTTATAACGACACGAGAAAAAGACCTGGGAGTGGACATAACACCTAACCTAACTCCAGAGGCTCCTATAAATAGATTAGAGTGAGCTGCATACTCTACGCTGGCCAGTCAGAACACCCTTCACCAACTTTGAGTACGCAAATGAGCCACAGAAAGGAAGGGAACTATTAGGAGGGAAAGCGCCAAGCCATTGCGACTATATAGCACTTGGAAAGGGTCAGGATAAGGATTTTGGCGATGGGACGGGGGAAGGAGTGGTGCCCAACCACTTGGACGGTCGGGAATTGAACGCCGACCTGCATGAAGCGAGACCGTCGCTCTACCGTCCAGCCCAAGTGGTTAAGCAATGAGCCACAGAGACATTAGAAATAATTGTTTCATTGTTAGAATAGTGAACAAATGGAGTGCGCAAGGAAAAAAGAGATGGTGGAGGCAGACTCCATAGCCAACCCAGTTTCAAATTGAAATGTGAGAAAACCCCAGTAGGTTCAGGAGGTTGTTCATCAGTTGACTGAAAGTTAAAGAGTTGCATAAAAAAAAGAAGTTGTACACTAACTATCGGCTGTCCTGCCTCCCATCTTGGGGTTCCTCCTGCCTCTCCTGCGCTGTTTCTTTCCATCCCATTATTGTCCACTCCCACCACTCCTCCCCACTACCACAACCACCCCCCCCTCCCAACAAGTACAACCTCCCCCCCACCTCCCCACCTTCCCCCCCCTCCTCGTTCCCCTTCCCAAGCCATCTTGGCCTCGGCTAATTACCCACCTGGCTGGTTTCCTCCCCCCAGGGTGCCTGTGGCCTCGCTATCTCATACACGTGATAAAGAGGCGATTTCTGTGGTTTATTTCAACGTGGTTTACAATCATATGGCGAGGGGCGGCTTGGCACTCTTTGCCCCCCGGCTTTGGTAATTGTGGCTTGATCCGTGAAATTGACTGAATAAACACACGCGGCTGTCGGGTTGTTGTTGTTGTTGATGTTGTTGTTGTTGTTGTTGTTGTTGTTGTTGTTGTGGTACTGGGAATATTGTGATGTCACTCGGGTAATTATGTGCTAATGTGGCGGCTGTTGTTGTGGTGGTGTTGTGGTGGTGTTGTGGTGGTGTTGTGCTGCTTGTGGTGGTGTTGTTGTGGTGGTGTTGTGCTGCTTGTGGTGGTGTTGTGGTGGTGGTGTTGTGCTGCTTGTGGTGGTGTTGTGGTGGTGGTGTTGTGCTGCTTGTGGTGGTGTTGTGCTGCTTGTGGTGGTGTTGTGGTGGTGGTGTTGTGCTGCTTGTGGCTGCATTGTTGTGGTGGTGTTGTGCTGCTTGTGGTGGTGTTGTGGTGGTGGTGTTGTGCTGCTTGTGGCTGCATTGTTGTGGTGGTGTTGTTGTGGTGGTGTTGTGCTGCTTGTGGTGGTGTTGTGGTGGTGGTGTTGTGCTGCTTGTGGCTGGATTGTTGTGGTGGTGTTGTTGTGGTGGTGTTGTGCTGCTTGTGGTGGTGTTGTGGTGGTGGTGTTGTGCTGCTTGTGGCTGCATTGTTGTGGTGGTGTTGTTGTGGTGGTGTTGTTGTGGTGGTGTTGTGCTGCTTGTGGTGGTGTTGTGGTGGTGGTGTTTTGGTGGTGTGCTGCTTGTGGTGGTGGTGTTGTGGTGTTGTGCAGCTTGTGGTGGTGTTGTGGTGTTGTGGTGTTGTGCTGCTTGTGGTGGTGTTGTGGTGGTGGTGTTGTGCAGCTTGTGGTGGTGTTGTGCTGCTTGTGGTGGTGTCATCTTGGCCAAAAAAGAATCCAATGTCATCAAATCTGGCCAGATTTGATATTTTCAACAGCTTATTAATATCCTATCTGTAAATACTTGTCCTCCACTGTGTAGCACGGTGACCAAACCGGCTCACCGCAGCCCTTGTGTGGGCCTCAGTAGGCCGAGGCCGTGCTGGAGCGAGAGATATGGCAGGAAGTGCAAAATAAACCCAATGAAAAGTCGGGATCCCGTGATGGAACACACACAGCAAACATTAAAGGGCGTCGAGTTTTAAATTTCCTGCAAGCAAATACAACAACAGATAGGTGAAACACTAGTGGAAGCTTTCGAGAGGAAACTTGACATGTTTCTGTAGTTACCTGGACAGCCTGGTTGTCATGGTTATGTGGGCGTGCGGGCTGCGAAGATAAACAGGCTTACTGACCAGGGGTCCAGATTCACGAAGCAGTTACGCAGGCACTTACGAACCTGTACATCTTTTCTCATTCTTTGGCGGCTTTGCTTACAATTATTAACCACT